AAAAGGAACGCAAGCGACAAAGTAACTATTTCCAGTCCCTAAGCGAATCGTTACGAAGCCTATAACGCAACGGAAACGAGGATACGTGTGAAGATAAAGCGAGGGAAAGAAGGAGAGTGAACGAGAGAGAGAGAGAGAGAGAAAGAGAGAGAGAGAGAGAAAGGGGGAGGCTACCATCGGTGGTGTCGGCAAGAGAAAGGCGCGCGTGCGAGAAAGAGAGAAAGGGTGATAGGGAGAAATAAGGAAGAAAGGAAGGAAGGAAGAAAGAACGGAAGAAGAGAGACGAACGAGAAAGCAAAGGATTGAACGTGATTAAAGGCGATCGTAAAACGCGTCAGCTGTGGGCGAATCTCTTTTTAAGTTCTCTCTGTACTGTGTGACCCTTACATTATTTTGTCCCTCCAGGGACAGGTTCAGTGTTGTAACTTAGGATATAAGAAGAATAAGAGCTCCTGGAACGCACAACAAGAAGAAAGAAAATTAATAAAAGGGAAGAGTTGAAGAAAGAACGAGAGAAGGAGAGTGTGTGTTTGTGAGAGAGAGAGCGAGCGAGTGAGCGAGCGAGAGAGAGAGAGAGAGCGTGTGTGCGTGTGCGTGTGTGTGTGTGTCGGGAAGAGAGAGAGAGAGAGAAAGAAAGAGAGAGATTCGAGAAAGGACTGAGACAAGAAGAGAACCAAGGTCGAAGAGGTACAGAGAACACTAAGAGATAGAGATAGACGAAGAGGAGAGGAAGAAACGAAGAGAAGATTCGTCGAGGAAATTGTTCGTTGAATTAATCTACGAGAATAAAATGGGGCTCCAGTTTTTTATACTAATGCGAACAAGTATTTAAAACGCGAAGAAGAGGAAGAAGACGAAAGTTGGATCTTTATCACGGTGTCGTTTTTACGGGTCTATCTCCACGTGTGTTGTCCATTGCACGACGTCGCGTCGAGAAGAGTCTGCAACGTTTATCGTGAATCATTATCTGTCTGTGACTCTTGATTCCTTTAGGGGGGAGAAGCGAGCGGAATAAATTGGATTGACTCTTGAAACGAGGGTAGAATAATTCGAACGAACAACCTGGCTCGCGTACACGATTCTTTGGGGGATATGTCCTGCCGTTCTAAGGGGAATCACCACCCACGTGCACGAGCCTCACGCAGAGGACAACGTCAAGCGAGTCGTGTTTCCATCCTAGAACCCGGCAGCAAGCTCTCCTGACAAAAAGAGTGCCGTCGTAGCTTGTCACGGTCTAGAATCGCGAACACCGACCATTGTCGAGTCGCCATATCAGCCGCACACTCGTCCAAATTCACGAGGAGCCTGGGGATGTCTGCGAGAGCACAGAAACGATCGCGCTACGCGTACGTTCAGGGACGATGACGATCGGCCACGATCGGTAAGATCCAAGAAGCGGTCGCTCTGACGAGCGCCACGGAAATGGCGGGCTACAATCATTCGAATCCACAGCGTGTCGTCTATCATGCGACCTACCCGACGCCTCTCGCACCAAGTGAGTCCTTTATCTTTTGCCCCACGCGTCCACCACAATTTTTTCGTACACGAATTTTCTTCCCCTCTATGCTCTTCGATTCACCCATAACGGTTTAACCGTTTATTTCCATTTCTTATTTCACGATCTTCGATTTATCGTCCCTCGGTGATGATCTTATTTCGAGTTTCCTTTCGAGTTTCCGCTTTGAAATATTTTTCATCTTCGATTTGGATGAAATTTTTATACGATTGCATGAAAATGCACGCGCTAGGCAGAAGGTATCGGCAATAAATTATCAGAGAAAATACAGTTGTATTATCGGTATCAATAGAATAACGTTCTGGGCAAACTTGTGGTGGGCAAAACGAAATATTTCATTCGACGAACAAGCGTTTCCTTAATGTCTTGAAATGTCAATACGCGTAATTTATTAGTAATAAACTACACATTTAGCATTTTAACGAGGAAGCCACGAATTCTTCGCGATTATTTCCTGTTTCCAAGGAATATGGTGATAATATTACCATATTTTTTTTTTTT